AATCCACTCACCTCAGCCTCCCAAAGCACTGGGATTACAGGCTGAGCCACCGAGTCCGGCCCATTTTTTTCACTTAATATATATTCTATGTTGGCATGTGCCTTTATTCTATTTTATAGTTGCATAGAATTCTATTGTGGATAAGCCATAGTTTACTTAGCATAGCTGATTTTTAAAAGATGAATTAACACAACGGAATGTTAGAATTGAAGTGGCAGACCAGGCAGAGAAGACAGCATGAAAAGTCCCAAGGCTCAGCATGCAGTATGCACAGCCCCTAAGATGATCTTATACAAAAAGCGTAAGACAGGAAGTGGAAACAAATGAAGTATGAGCTGACAGTGACTGGGTTATAAGGCCCTCCAAGCCAACAGTTTTCAAATGTCATCATGATCAGAATCATTTGAAGGGCTTTTTTTTTTTTTGGTTGGCGTCTCACTCTGTCGCCTAGGCTGGAGCGCAGTGGTACCCTCACAGCCACCGTACCCTCAACCTGCTGGGCGCAGGCAATCCTTCCACCTCAGCCTTCCAAGTAGCTGGAACCACAGGTGTGCACCGCCACGCCTGGCTAATTTTCTTGATTTATTGTAGAGATGTGGTCTCTCCAAGTTGCCTAGGCTGGTCTCAAACCCCCAGGCTCAGGCAATCCTCTCACCTCCGCCTCCCAAAGTGCTGGGATTACAAGCAGGAGGGCATACTGAAACAGACTGCTGGGCCCTACTGCCAGTTTTAGATTCAGCAGCTCTAGGGTGGGGTCCAGAATTTGGACTGCTAACAGGTTCCTGAAAAATGTTGCTGCTGGTCTGAGACCTTACTTTGAGAAACACTGCTGTTAGCACTATTAAAGAACTTGGACTATATTTTATCCAATGGTTCTCACACCTTGGTAAAAATTAACTGAAAAGTTTTTCTTTTTTCTTTTTTTTTTTGGTAGAGATGGAGTCTTTCTCGCCCAGGCTGGTGTTGAACTCTTGGCTTCAAGTGATCTTCCCACCTTGAACTCCCAAGTGTTGGGGTTTACAGGTGTGAGCCACCACACCCAGTCAACTGAAAAGTTTTAAACAAGGAAATATCATGGTTAGGTCCGAATCTTAGAAAGATATCCCTGGCCTTAGAGAATCTGGCAAGAAACTCCAATCTAGACAGTTCCATCTGCCCCTGTGAGTGGAACTGGGGTCCTTCTATCTGAATGGGGTTAACTAGCACCTTGCTTGATCCTGAGGAGAGTGCAGTGTGTCCGTCACTGAGTAGGGTCATCCTGCCATAAGAGCAGAAAGAAGCCCCTATATCGCAGGCAGCTTCTCCCCAGAGCCCCCTTCAACCAAAACCCAGAAAACACTGAGAAGTTTAGGGTCTCTATCAGGGTCCAATTCAAGGGTGGCTGGGGACAGGGATCCTGGGAAGGAGTCAGAGGAGAGCTTCTTTTAAAAAGCTCACTGATCATTTTCACAATGGAGAACTGCAGGTGGTTAGCTTACAAACTGGCATGGGAATCTTTGTGTGGTGGACCAGGCCCACATCACCAGGCACAAGACACTAAGGTTGCAAAAATGAACACAGTAAATGCAGCACCACGGGATGGATCATGCATGGGTGCCCTTAGCCAGACGAAAACTCTGGACGGAGTCATTTGAGGTTACGTAGGAGAGCGGCAGGCTCTCCATGGTTATTTCTCACTCACTTCTCTGGATTGTTACCCCTCTCGGGTACTCCAGCGGATCTAGGGCAGCCGGTTCCCAATCATCGGTATTTCGTTCCAACCAGGAGATGAGAGCTGGCTTGGGACCTGCACACCCTGGGGAAGGAGAACAAATCAGAGGGCCAGCTCCTAGAAAACGCTGGGCAAAGATCTACCCGATGGCATCTCCGGCTACGCCTCTACCCCCCTCCCCTAACAACCTGGACTCTAGCCAAAGACCTTGAACTCCCTGCCCCCCCCCCCCGCCCCCGCCAGCTCCTCCATCCCTTCGCGCCCCGCGGAAGCGGATTGGGCCGGGCCTCACCGAGCGCGCCCAGGTGGCCGTAGTTCTCCCGCATCACGTCCCGGTAAAGAGCCCTCTGCGCGGGCCGCAGACACCCCCACTCCTCCGAGGAGAAGTACACGGCCACGTCTGCGAACTTCAGAGCCCTCGGCCTCCTTCCCCTTTTCCGACTGGGTCTGGCGTCTCCTGGTCCGCGCGCGGAGAGCGGAGCCGAAGGCGGCGCCATTGGACCCGAGAAGCGGCGCCACCGCCTTCCCCGTCCAGGCCTCGGCCCTTGGGCGCTGGCGGACCCTGGGATTGAGGAGCCCCCGCTGGACCAGGGCTGCGGGTGGCCGGGGTGGTCCAGAGGGAATCGGAATCGGCCGCCCGCGGGGCTAACGGAAACCTTTTGCTCTTATTCAGGAAACTCCTGCCCGAACTTGGGTGAAAGGCACCGGAAGATGCCTTCGGGGAAAATGGCGGCGCTGCTACCGCACCGCCTTTGCCTGGAACACAGGCGGCTTCCAGCTATCGATTTTATTGACCGGAGCGCCATGCCGGCTTCCTAACCTCTTTGCCCTCAAGTGTAATGGCGCTGCGATTGGGCTTCACGCCCTTTTCCCCCCCTCCCCATTACACGCGTTCATTGGGCGGCAGCCGAAGACCGAAGGTTCTGATTGGGTGCAGGCAAAGGCGGCCTGTTTGAACGAAGCCAAGAGGTGCGTGAGGGCAGGAAGCCGGCCGGTGAGTGCTGGGTAACTACAGTTAGTTGTGCAGTGCGCTGCATCCACCTGGGATCAAAAGAGGCCTTCGGGCTGTTTTCCGCCGGTCTCTGCAAGTTCAGCCTATCTCTGAAGGAGAGATTTGAGCGACGGAGCCACTCTGGCCAAGCTGGAGCTGAGATTAACCCGCGTTCATTTGTGTTGCTTTCTCAGAGCAGCTCTCGCTTGTGGTAACTTTCTTGTTGCACTTCAGGGAAGGGAATTAACGTTAGTGTTTCTTGGGTGCTGGCATTATGCCCAACATAGTACACATTTCGTTTTATTTCTTCTTTGCTACCATTTTGTGAACTGATGGTTATCATCTCGGTTCCACTGATTTAAAAAAAAAAAAACAACAACAACTCAGAGGGATTCTATGAATTTCCAGGATTACCCTGCTAGTAAGCAGGGACAAAGACTTAAATCTGGGTTGACAGAGCCTTTATCCATACCACTGAACTGGGCATCCTTCTTTCACATTATCCTTGGTCTCTTCTCAGGTTCAATCTTCTGCATGATCTCCATACGTTATTTTTACGTGACATTTGTTCAATATACAAAGCATAGTGCTAGGCAGTTAGGAGAAGCAGGGTTACAGAAATAAGTCATAAGCCATACTTTGAATGGAGTCTACAGTCCAGTGGGGCATATAAATTCACAACTAATAATAACAGTTCAAGACCAGCCTGGGTAACATAGCAAGACCCTGTCTCTACCAAAAAATTAGGCAGACATGGTGGCCCACATCTGTAGTCATAGTTCACTGCAGCCTTGAACTCCTGTGCTCAAGCGATCCTCCTGCCACATCCTCCCAAAGTGCTGAGGTTATAGGTGTGAGTCACTGCACCCAACCAGAATTCCTCTTCTTAATGAGTTTTCAGATTGATGCATCAGGTGGAAAGTGAGTTTGGTCTATGAAGAGGTAGAATTTAGGGAGGGCAGTTGTGCTCAATAGTCATTTGTTGAAAACGGCTGAATCCCATAGTCATTAAGATCTCTGGCACAAAGCCAGGAATTCAAGACAGTTTTGGGTATGAAGGACATAATGATGAAAATTCAATCATCACACTTATGAACTACAAAAAAATCTGCATAATGATACTTTCTAATGAAGTAAAATACACTTATGGTAAAACTGAAGGACTAAAAGAGTGAGTTGGCCCCAGATAGTAGAGGGCTTCATCTATACATTGGGGAACTCCTAAAGTCTAAAAAAGTGAATGACCTTCCAATGTTTTAGGAAGTTTGTGGTTTCAGGTAGTTTGCAAGATGAACTGATAGCTTTGTGTCTACTCTTTCTGTGTACACATGGTTCACTTTGAAGAAATAAGAGTGTAGAATTAGGCTGCTAAAGAAATAAAAAGGCAAATGGATAGTAAACCATTTCACTTCAACAGAGGTGTCTGAATAGAGGAAACTAGGAAAGAATCAGGCCTCTGAAGACATCTTGCCTAAATGATAAGGTTGGGCTGTCAACTGACAAGATGCTGAGATTCAATAGGAAAGAAAGATGAACTACTAAAGAAGGTACTGGGCCTTCTTCCGACATCCAGCAAGTGGGAGGCAGGCTGGACTGAAGGTGCAGCCGCAGCCTGGTCCTTCTGACCTGAGGCTATGAAGGCCCCATTTGCAGGCTTGGTACCATCCCAGTGAGAGTACTAAGGCAGGACCTAGGAATCGGGCAGAGCCAGATGCTCTTAACTGTAGGAAAACACCTTGGAGAAAGAAGTAAGTAGGACTTAATGTGAGAGCAGAACCCCTTCCTCCCTTTGGTATAAATTCCCAGATCCACACTAGGCTTGGGTACCAGCAAGCCTCCTCTTAAGGGAAGATTGCCCACCACAGAGAAGGGTGGAGAAGATCCAGGACGTCTACACACCAAGAGGCACATAAAGACCAAAAGCACTGAGTAAAGGGAAATGGTGGGGGGTCAACTAGGTACCTGGTATGTTGACATAGATGGTCTCAGTTGAAACTCACCTCCCAGAGTCCTTATGAGGACAATTATCCTTTTGTCACAGTTACCAAAAACTTGAACACCTTGCTCAAAACCTGTTCATAAGCCGGGCTCGGTGGCTCAGCCTGTAATCCCGCGCCTTTGGGAGGCTGAGGTGAGTGGATTGCCTGAGCCCGAGGGTTCGAGACCCACCTGGGCAACTTGGCGAGACCTCATCTCTACAATAAATTTAAAAACAAAATTAGTCGGGCATGGTAGCGTGCGCCTGTAGTTCCAGTTAGTTGGAATGCTGAGGCGGAAGGATCGCCAGAGCCCAGCAGGTCGAGGCTGCAGTGGCCGGGAGCGGCCACTGCACTCCAGCCTGGATGACAGCGAGACTCCAACTCAAAAAAGAAAACCTGTTCATAAAGGCAGATGAAATTTAAACGACTTTGAGATTAATTTCTCCTTGTTTCATACTTAGTGAGAAGTGTTTGCAAGGTCCTCTTTCGGTTGTAGCACACATAGATTTTACATTATAGACTGGAACCCAACCAGTTTGCCTGAGATGTCACTGCACCATGAATCCAGACTTGGGCAAGCAATGTTGGTCCTTGGGGAAGGTGATGAGTAATAAAGGAGCCTTTTCTCTTTGAGTCAGAGTCTCACTGTCACCCAGGTTGGAGTGCAGTTGCATTCTCACAAGTGCCGTCCGTAGCTTCGACCTGCTGGGCTCAGGTGATCCTTCCACCTCAGCCTTCCAAGTAGCTGGAACCACAGGTGTGCACCACCACACCCAGCTGATTTTTTGATTTATTGTAGAGACAAGGTCTTGCCATGTTGCTCAGGCTGATCTCGAACCCCTGAGCTCAAGTATCCTCTCGCCTCCGCTTCCTAAAGTGCTGGAATTACAGGCATGAGCCTCCGCACCCAGCTAGGAGCCTTTCTTAATAGATTCATGCAGTTCAGTTTCAACCTGTTCCTTCCTGACACATTTCTCACTGATAAATGTCTGATGATGGTCAGGTGTGGTAGTTCACACCTGTACTACTATGTAGTCTGATTTGATTATCTCTATATTCTGCTCTCTGAAGGGGGTACTTCCAGGCACCTGCAGATCTTGTCACCTTGTATCTCTCTCTCTCTCTCCCCCCCTCCCCATCTCCCCCTCTCCTGTCCTTGCTCACTCTTCATGACCTTCCCCAGTACTTGATGAGGAAGGATATCTTCCATAATGAGCTCCTTCACAGCATCTGACCCAGGTCACCCACACTCCTGGAAGTTACCTGAAAAATAGCAGATGTGAACTGGGGGTCCTGAACCCCAAGGGCAGGATCCTGGCACAGGGATGACCCAGGAGGTCTCCCACACCTTGGCCTCTCCTGTTAGCCTGTTAGATCCACTGGTGGGCTTTTAGGCCATAATTTCTCTTGAAGCTTTGCCCACACTTGGCACAAGGAAAAGGGCTTCTCATCAAAGTAGTACCTGTGCCTGAGCAGGAGGGAGAAGCCCAAGAAGCAGATGCCAATTTCTGGGCTTGTCACCTGTGTGTGTGTGTGTGTGTGTGTGTGTGTGTGTGCGCGCCTACATATGGCCAAGGAGCCTCCTTTGATGGGCACACCACCCACAGAGCACTAGTAGGGCTTCTCTCCTGTGTGGATGAGCCAGTGCTGGAGCAAGTTTCCCAGCCAGCAAAGTGAGTGCCACTTCATAGGCACATGCTGGTGGTTGGCCAGGAGGAAGGGCTATGGAAAGTGGCACCCACTGCACACACATGTCTGCATCTGTGCATGGACAGAGCCATGCTCTGTCTGGAAGAGATATCTGCAGTCAGGGCACAGGCCGGGCATATCCCCTGTGTGAGGCAGCTGATGCTAAGAGAAGTGGACACTCTGACACACAACCATTAGGACAGTCATCCGACTGGATTTCCCTGTGTCTGACCAACAGAAAGGAGAAGGCAAAGAGCTGCCCATAGTCAAGACACGCATAGGGCTTCTCTCTTATGTGTGCATATCTGTGAATGGTCAGAGCTCCACTTTTTGAGAAGCAGCAGCCACGCTAGGGGCAGCAGCAGGGTGTCTTGTCTGTGTAGACCAATGAGCTGATGCTGAAGCAGATCCTTGCACCGAGAGCAGTTCCCACACTGTCATAGGGAAGGGCTGTGTCCACCAAGTAGACTTGGCAGTAGCTGGTCAGGAAGAACAGCCAAAGCTGTGCTCACAGCCCAGACGTGGGTAGGGCCTCTTTGGAACCTGAGTGCACTAACACCCTGTGACTGAGGAGCTCTGAGCAATATCTGGCCACAGCCCCTGCAGGTAGGGCTCTCAGATGTTCCAAGGGGTCTTGCCACTTCTTACATGCTGAACTCTCCCTCACACAGGCTGCATGAAGTTCCTTGACCACCATTTCTTCTTTCTTTCACTTTCTGCAGAGTGATAATTGGAACTAGGGATTGTAGAGTGCTATTGAAATGAGCTAAATCAGCTCTGGGTTTTTTTTGAGTTGGAGTCTCACTCTGTCCCCCAGACTGAAGTGCAGTGACCGCTCCCAGCCACTGCAGCCTCATCTTGCTGGGTTGCGGCGATCTTTCCACCTCAGCCTTCCAAGTAGCTGGAACTACAGGCACGCACTACTATACCCAGCTGATTTTTTATTTATTGTAGAGATGAGGTCTCGCCAAGTTGCCCAGGTGGGTCTCGAACCTGCGGGCTCAGGCAATCCACTCACCTCAGCCTCCCAAAGGCACGGAATTACAGGCTGAGCCACCGAGCCCGGCTAAATCAGTTTTTTTTTTTAATTGCTAGCAAGATAATAGTATCAACCAGCTTACTCCATTTTGTTTAAAGCTTCCATCTTAGTTGCCTGCCTGACCTAAGAATCACCCCTCAATGCCTACATGTAATTACTGTAAGTTCCCATGACCACAGACCT